GAGAAAACAAATCAATGCAAAACACAATATTTACGTGGTTCGACTTTCGCCTACGTCCACGGAACAAAGAGAATCGCTTTATTACTCAAAGAAGATGAAGAACAAATAACATATAGAAAACCTTAATTTTTAGTATAAGGTTCTCTGCTCACCACTCAATTACACATATATAAAATCTCATGGCTACACCATCTATTTATAGCCTAATGGTTGCTAAGTAGGTAACACACAAGGACTTGAATTCCTAATACAAGTGAGATTAGAATTCAAAACCACCACATGTATGTTAAGGAATTTGATTCCTTATAGAAGTCTGTTTGATAACCGACAACATAAAGGAAATCTATTCCATAACTGCCACGTCCCCACTTTTCAACAAAAACAAAGGTAACCCATTTGGGTATTTTGGAATTGGATCAAGTTTTTCCCAATTCTGATTTACAGAATCAAATACAGCAATTCCATAAGCAGGAGAACTTGTTTGGTTTCTTACACCATTTGGTAAAGAATAAACTAAACAAGCAACTTGACGAGTTTTTCCTTCTTTTTTTCTCAATGGAGATCTGTACAAAAAGATTTCAGATCTAGAGTTTATTTTATTTCAAATTGAGAAAGAATGAAGGAAGAAGATGAAGAAAAAAGGTTTGGGGGGTTAAGTCTAATAGTTAAGTTGAGGGTAGAAAAGTCAGAAATTGTTGAACCAAACGATAGAAGTGACGGCAGATAGACGGAAGGTGGTTAAGTCAAATTTTAGACAAATAGGGGGGTTTTCTCCAATCGTGATCATAAAAGGGGGGTTAAGTCTAAAAATCCCATGATCTTTTGCAGCATTTGGTTACATACAGTACTAATATATGCTATAACACAGAATGTCCTGTTTCAAACACATAATGTGGTGTTAGGAAACATTCAGGTAACAATTATGTATCATTCTTCGCAACATAATGGACTAATACAAGCCCTGTCTTCGTTGCGAAAACAACAAGAGCTATGGAAGCTAGCTTCTTCTAGAACAACACCAACAATTATGTCCAAAAATCAATTTGCCCAAGTCTGAACCATTTTAGCATTCACAAAAACATAGTGCCCAAGATTTGTCATTGTGAAATTGGTCGTGGTATAAGCCAAAACACCATCTGAGTCTAACATTGCTCTGAGGCTAACTTGGGTGCACTATGCACTGTTTATCCATAGACAAGCTCTTCATCACCATACCATCCAAATCAATCAGTGTTGACTTTCATTGTAATCTGTCGTGTACATTCCTATGAGTTTCATTGTAGAGACATATTCATGGTCTATTGCTCTCGTGTTTTATGATTCGATGATGAACTGCTAGCAATAAGGCTGGTAGCAGTGATAATTAAGAGTCTGACCAGGTAGATGGAATAGTATATGTTGGATGGTCAAAACTTTCCCATATAATGCGACAATCTGAACCAGAAAGCATAAGGTTACCACTGTCATCAGTCAGGATGGCATAAGAAGCCGATGCTTGTGGTACATTGAGTATCTTGATGATCAAAGAATTTAATATTGAAAAGTTGTGAAAATTGAATTTGTTGGATCTTCCACTAGAGTGGAAAACCCTCTAAAAATTGGTGTATGCCATTTAATGTAGAGAACACACGGTATTCTTTAGTAAAAGGCGAAAGAATAGTTCGCTTTGTGTTCACTACATGGCTGCATGATTAAAATGAATACCATTCTTGAGAATTTATTTAGCAGAGTGAACAAGTTATTTGTCTTTTGAAGCAATGTGGGACTTCTGCACTCAGCTCCTTTGACTGTCAAATACATATTTGAGCTTTTTAGTTTCCTCTGTTCCCAAGCAGTCGGTGGAATAGTCTAAATTTTATTGACAGTAACCACCATCATAGGAATGAATAGGAAGGAAGCATCATGTGTCGCTGCATGATATTTTCTTCTCAATAGTGGGACTATAAGATCGAGTAGAATACAGTTAGATTATCTGACATCTACCCGCCATTCACTTAGTCACTTGTATTCAACGCTCAAAATTTACATTCTCGGTTATCATCATCTACAATAGGTTGTAACATATGATCTATTGGATGAATGAAAACAAGAACTACGTTTATCTTCTACAGCTGCCATGCCCCAAGTAGCCTGCAACTGCATTGCTTTCTCTAAAGGACAAACTATTCAACTATGCAACAAAGTATTGGTGAATTTGCGATTTATGCAACCAATAATTCTACGCCCACAGATAACTCCCACAGCCTGACGTGTTATATCTTATGTGGCCTTGTCCACGTTAGCATTAGAAATCAACTCAAAATCTTCTTCGTCCTCCTCTTTCTTCACAAACTTTGAGAGAGGAGTGTGCTTTTATTGACCCAAATTTTATATTCGTTAGGGGTATGCTCTTTATGAAGTGGGGTGTTCCCTAACACCAAGCCTTATTTTATCTCGGTTTCTCTCATATGCAATATTTGGTTGACATGGAGAACCTGTTCAACAATGTACGTGACCAGCCTTCAATGGGAAATCTGTGGGAGATGGCAGGAAATACTACCCAAGCAACCGATTGCAACTAAGCGGCTACATGGATGAGCAGAAACGATGGCAGTGGATGGGAAGGAAACACTCAACCTGTCAACCGTGGGATGACCAGTTTTAACAGGGGTAGCATCCTCACCCCTGTCGAGGTGCATTAGGACTCCTCACCCCTGTCGAGGTGCATTAGGACTTTTATATCTCTATCACTCACCCTCTATCACCAGCAGTTTTTTTATATCTCTATCACTCACCCTCTATCACCAGTCGTTTTTCTAAGAGCATTCCCAATGGGAGGTGGGCTAGGTCACCTCCACGTAGGAGCCATCTAGGAGCCACGCCTGAAAAATCCACCTTGCCACATCATAAATCCACCCGGTGGACTAGGCAAAAGTGGGGGTCTTCCAATCGTAAAGTGGATTTTTCAATGGCACGGCATTCGAAATGTCGTATGTTTTAATTTGTACACACGGCTGCCGTGCGAAGAGTGGATTTTAACATGGCACGGCACTTCAACTACTGTGCGTCCTAAGTGAAATATTTATAACTTACATCGTGGCAAGGCAGTTGAAATGCCTTGTGGATAAAATAATGGCACAATACTTCAACTGCCGTGCGTCTTTATAACTTTACCATGGCAAGGCAGTTGAAATGTCTTGTGGCTGAAATGAAATAATGGTACGGCAGCCGTGTGATGTGGCCAGGCACTTTGAATGTTGTATGGCTCTTGGAAAACAAATTCTTACTCTTGGAAGTGGATTCCAATCCTCTAACAGTAATTCAATTAAATAAAGTGACCATTGCAGACTCACCAGAGGTTTTATTAAATAAGAACTACTGGATAGCCAGTTAACATGTTTGGCTAAACGCATATTATTGTATAAATTCCATCTAAATTTAATTGTAAACTTACAATCAAATGTAAAGCAGAATAGAAAACAACAGAACATTTATTACTGTTATGTAGGGTCTTTCATATAGAGTAGAAAACCCTCTAAAAATTGGTGTATGCCATTTAACGTAGAGAACACACGGTATTCTTTAGTAAAAGGCGAAAGAATAGTTCGCTTTGTGTTCACTACATGGCTGCATGATTAAAATGAATACCATTCTTGAGAATTTATTTAGCAGAGTGAAGAGGTGATTTGTTTTTTGAAGCAATGTGGGACTATTTAGATGGAAACAAGTCTGACAAAAAAGGGTAAGTAAGCCGACATATATACACGTATATTGGAGCTCCTGAACCTGTCTCGGGCTGATGATATGTCCAGCATTTTTGCTGGTCTCCCTCCTTACGGCCTTATTGACATGAACTGCTGCAATGGGAATGAAATGTTAAAAAATTCAAATGCCCATCATATCAAACTTCTGTAAGCCAATAAAATGCCTTTTGAGGGCAAGACAAGCTCAGTCGATCATCAGGTTCCAATATACGTAGTTATCCATATATATCATTGGCTTGGTTCGGAGTTCTGAGTTCCATTCACAAATTAAATCAAACTCCTGTAAGACCATTATTGTTACATTCTTGACGATGTTGCAATAAACTGTCTCAGAGCGAGCATCTCTAATGCAACATCTATAATAGCAGAAAATGTACAATGTTAAAAAATTGTCCGTAATGCAACAATCTATTATAGCTTAAGTTTGTGAATATTATAGCAGCATCTATATCTCCTGCGATTTGAAAGTCATACGCAATGAGGTTGCGTACTACTTTTTTAGTTTTTGGTTATACTCAACATGAGGTTGCGTAC